ATACATATACAGATGATTCAGGACTTTTTTAGGATGTGAAACAGAAAATTTTAGTATAGCCAAAATCAAATCAACGTTTAGCAATAATGTTAGGAACAATATCAGGGATAATTAATAGGGCTTGTAGATGACTGGAAAGCAGAAAAAACACTGTAGCATATTATTATGACTCAGAATAACTACCATTTTCTTGAGCATTAGCATTACATTAAGGGTACTTAATGTAAATTTTATATAGTTTTCTTAACTCTATAAGGACAATCATAATTATGTTCATATTCCAAATGAGGCTACTGAGAATCATAACCTGACCAAAAACACACAGCCAGTGAGCAGCAGAACCAAGCTCTGCAACCAAAGTATTTAGTCCTGTCTTTCATGCCATGGGGCATTCCAAAAGAAAAGAACTCACATTTAATAAACACCTATTATGCATAGGCCAGGTACTTTACAAATACTATTTTAGTGGGGCTTGACAATAACACTGTGAGGTAAATATTATCATCCCCATTTTAAAAATAAGGAAACTGAGGTTCTTGAAAGTAACTTGCTCAAGGCTCCAAATTGGTAAATAGCAAAGTCAAGATATACACCCAGAACTGCCTAACTCTAAAGCACTTGATCTTTTTATTGCAGAATCTGAGGTTCTTGAAAGTAACTTGCTCAAGGCTCCAAATTGGTAAATAGCAAAGTCAAGATATGCACCCAGAACTGCCTAACTCTAAAGCACTTGATCTTTTTATTGCAGAATGGTTAATGCCCAGGAAAATCTTGACAAAAGTGTTAGGAAGGAGTCATGGAGAATGGCCAGGGTGAATGTACAAACAAGGAAAAATTATTCTTGACTTTAAGTCACAAGGTTCTGAAACAGCACAAAGAATAGAGGAATGGATTCCTTCATCAATTCTTTCAACAAATACTTGAGCATTTACTATGTGCTAAGCAGTGTACTAAACTGGAGTCTCAGAATTAAAAGGCCTGTCCCCAAGGACTCTTAGTGTAGTATGGGAAAGTGACAGGTAAACAGACACAGTGTGATAAATCCAAGGATGGAGATAAGTAGGTAAGGTAGTGTAAGAGAAAAATGACTGACCAAGACCAAGAAGAGAGAGGCAGAAAGAGCCAGGCAGAGTGGCCTGGAGGAGACATTTCAGCACAGTCTGATATGAGTGAGCCAGGTAAAGATGTAGAGGAAGGTTATTCAGGCAAAGAGAACAGTGGGTAGGAGAGGATAGGGCCCATCAAGGAATCTGAAGGTTGTTTAGGGAGGCCAGACTAGTGGCTGTCATCTCTTGCTATGGTCCAGAATCAGCCATGGAGCTGAACCATGTGATAGACTTACTAAGTCTGAATCTCCATGGGTGGTGTGCTCCTGATGGGCAGCTAGGTTAAGAACCCCGCACAAGAGCCTGGGGCATAGTTAAGGAAGAGTGAGAGAGGAGGCACCTATAGAGGAACAGCCAGGCCACAAATGATACAGAGTTTGCATATAATCCCAATGACCACAGAGATGGCTGGAGGGTCTGCCTGCCTACCCAGAGAGTGATGTGTAGAAGAGATGGGAAGGGGTCTGTTGCAACCACTCGAGCAACAGGCAGTGAGAGCCTGAGTTATGGGAGCCAAAAGATACAAAGATGGGAGATTTGGCAGGACTTAGGGACACACTAGATGAGGGTTTGGAAGAGAGAGGAGTCAAGAAAGACTTGGGTTTCTGGCTAGCCCTGGTGACTGGAGGATGGTGGTGTCATTTGCTCAGCCATTCATTAAAAAGTTAGGTCTGAGATGCCTACAAAGCAGCATTTCCTAAACTGTGCTTTGCCAGATATTAACAGATGCTTCATACAAACCTAAACCCAGAGAAACTTGGGGATATTTTTCTTCTTAAATTAATTTTTAGCATAAGAGAAATACTAAATACAATTCTTTAGTTCTTATTATGTGACAATCAGAATTTATGAAATCATGTGACAATGTATTGCCAGATGTGTGCATGGATGAGTACGTAGTGTTTACCAAGGGCTGTATCACACCGATGTGTATCCTTTACTTAGAGACCACTGGTCTGCTATGTCTCCTACTTTTTCCTTTCAATATGTTTGTGATATTATTCAAATTTTATTACAAATATTATGCCTCACCAACTTGTCCTCTGGCATGTATGGCTGAGGGAGATTTGTTGTTTGTTTGGCTTTTGCTTTTGGTGGCTGACTGGTACAGGGATCAATCCCTGGAGTTTGGATAAAACCCTGGACTTTGGTGTTACCGAACCATGCTCCAACCAACTGAGCAAACTGGCCGGCCCCCTGAGGGAAGTTTATAATCATAAGGAATATCTCCCCCCTTCTCCATCTCCTTCACACGTCCACCCTCCTCTACATCAGAGTTTCAAGAGGTTAGCCCTTAATCCTCCCTATTTTCACCATCTACTTTCCTCCTAGTCAATCTCATCCTCACCTTCTGTTATCATCCTTCTATGGTACCTCCAATCTGAGCTCCAGACCTATTTACCCACAGTTCCTCACTCCTACCACAATTCCTCTTGAATTTCTCAAAAGAACCTTAAACTCAGCACATCCACAACCAACTCATGATTCTCCCACCCCAAACCTGCTCTCCTCCCAGTGGCCCCTTCTCAGGAAGCAGGAACATCCATCTGGCTGCACAGCCAGAAACCTAGAAGCATCCATAACATGGACCTTTCCCTTACCTCCTTCTTTTATTTAATGCCAATTAAGTCCTATTGATTTTATTTCCTATCTCCAGAACCTGCCCTTTTCCATCTCTGCCACCACCATCTCCACCCCAGCAACTATCCTTTCTGCCTTGCTGCACAGTAACTCACCAGCTGGCTTCCCCACATTCACTTGGTTGCCCTCAGTCTGTTATCTACATTGTAATCAGAGTGATCTGTTCAAATTGCAAATGTGATCATGTTCCTCTGACAAGTTTTTAAAAATTGTCAGTATCTATACTTTAGTGGGACTATTTGGTTAATACCTGTCTTGTTCATGCCTAGACTCTAACCAACATCAACATTTTTGCTCACTCAACCCAATGCATGGCATTTTGTATCTGCGTCACTCAACCCAATGCATGGCACATAGTATGTGCTATATACTTTATAGAAAGAATGAGTGCCACTGTGGTCAAGGAAGGAGAATTTCAAAGAGGCAGTACAAAACATTGTGAAATGCCTAATAAGAACTAAAAAATGTCCTCATAGTACCTCCCAAACTGCAGGGAGGTGATCTAATTCACAGACAGGGCATCAGCTTCGGAGTCAGAGACCCAATTAAAATCATGGTGCAGCCTCTTATTGGCTGTGTGACATTAGTCACCAACTGAACCTTTCTGAGATTGCATTGGTAATAACACATAGCATCTGAGTAGTGCTTGACATATTAAACATTTTTTATTCTGACGCTTTGACATCTGGGGGCCTTTGACACTGGGTGGAATGTCAATTCCTAGAGATAGTAAACAACTCATCTATGAGTGTGCCTTTCATATGCAAACCAACTGACCCAGAGCAGACAACCTCATCATCTCCTCTATCAGATTCTCACACCCAGGGCCACCATTTCCCTGCCCTAATCACCCCAGGGCCAGATACCAAACAACTAGGAAGAACCCCCTAAACCCCGGAGCCCACTGAAATCATTCAAACTAGCCAATCCTGAACGTGCTTACCCTGTCTTGCCTATTCTTTCCCAAGGAAAGCACAATAAAGGTTCCTGTCCACTTTCTCATCATTCCTCTGCCTCCTAACTGATCCTGGTGCTTCCCTGTGTGGCCCAGCATAGTGAGGCACTCCCCCTTTTCTTAGAAACTACAATACTAACTTTTCAACAATAATCACTTCCTGATATGTCATCCTCACCGTACCTGAATAATAATAATGTCTACACTTTAAAATGCTTGGCCCAGAGTTGATTCTCAACACATGGTAGATATGGAGCAAGGGAAGGGCGAATTCCACGTCACAAGGCATGGGTTACAGAACGGACTTTATTGGGGAAAGTTACCAGACCCCTGGCTGGCTGGATTCTCCCATCACCCCATAAAAGGGAAGTTTGGACAGTGGTGCTTCTGTTTTCCGGGGGAGAGTTCCCTCTACCTACTTAG